TGGAGCTCGTGACAATCGCAGTTTTCTGGCAAATTTCGGAGTCATTAATGTTGTTCAGGCCGCATTGCAAGAAGAAACGCCCGACTTGCCTGGTACTTGTTGTTGATGGTGTCAGTCAACAGACCAACGTCTGCCACTCTCGTCACCACCATGCCACCGTCAATCTGGCACCCTGTCATACGAAGATATGGTTCATCGTTTACAGACTTTTGGATATCGAAGTACGCCGATATCGACAGGCGCATTCCTAGAATTATTGGGTGAAAATTCTTTTGTTAGGGAACCTCTGAAATCCAATCAGATGGTCGAATTGTCGTGATCTCACCTGTAACAAGCACTTTCCCTGTTACTGGCAGCTGAATAATTACTGAAATTGTTCCTCCAAGTTGGCCGACGACACTTGAAAAAAACTTGATTGAAAATAGTTGGGATCGCAATCCTGATAGGGAACTATATCCCTAGGGTGAGTAAAGGGGAGCCGGAGACGACAAGAGAATCGTAAGCTGCCGCTTTGTCGCGCGCGTGCTTTGAGCGCGACGCTTCCTTAATTTGCACTACCCTTTCGATTGGAGCATCGGATTTCATGTAGACAAGGACATGGTAGACACTTATGTCTATTTTTGGTCATACATTGTCTATTCTCGACCAATACCACCTAAAATCGTCGTCATTAGCGGGCGCGACGTCGCACGCGACGCCCACTGGCGCGGCGAATTACGATTCTCTTGCCCACATACCCATGGGGAGCAGCATTGCCATGAACTACCCTGCCAACATATCGGGGATGATACGAACGATATGATAGGCAGAGAAATGGTACCAATTCAACTTTGAGTGGCCATTTGGCACCGAAAGGTTAAGCACGGCTATACTGAAGTTTGGTGCAGAGTAGTACCAGTCAGATCTGTTACGTATTTGCCTCATGTATCCTGAAGGCGTCTAGCTCCGACCGTTGGCTGCAAGCAGATTCATGGGCCAGCTGTTCAAGAGCTTTCGTTGATCCCTGCTCCCCCTCCCTTCGAAAGACATTGCACCCTTGGCTGTGAAGGTATCTCAGGGTGAAAGCCATGTAATACCACAAAACCTGAACAATGGCGAAAAACCAAATGGTATGCCTGATTCAGGCCCTTTTTTCTTCAAAATCATTCTTTTAACAGCTCTAAACCGTGGGTCACTCGCCTAAAGAATATAACAATTACTGTACTGAAAATGAACCAAACTTCAGGCACAAGAGCGCGGCGATGGGTATTATATCTTGGATTATTATTGTAATAATGGATATGCAATAGAAGCGTATCTTACAAGAAGTCAAAATCGGTGATTCGGATGACGAACTGGTTCGGAGGGTACGGTCCGAAGTAGACAAAAGCTG